TACTTGAGTTTTTCATTCTTTTCGAGCAAGATTGATTCCAAACAACTTAGAGAGAACCCTTGTACTTTAGATTCAGCAAACTACGAGATCACGCATAACGATGCCACTGACGAAGATCAAAACGACGACGACGACGACGACGATGATCCCGGGATTGTCAGACGCGCGCTTGCCATGTTTCGCGGAGTATCCGGGCGAAACTCACGAGAAAGGGGGTTAGGTTCTCGGTATTCGGCGCGGTATCAGCGGCGATAGATAAGTCATTATGCAACGAAAGATCCCCGAGAGGAGCCACTGACGAAGTTCGTTCGCTCGCTCGCGCGTGAGAGAAAGAGAACGATACTCGGCGCGCATGCGCCGAAAATCCCGCCAAAACTGTCGCAGGGAGATCTCGCGGAGCACGGGACTCGCCATTCCTCGAGCGCGACGTCGCGCCTCTCGCGCGCGCTAAATGCAGGGTAGGAGGAGGAAGAGGGGGAGGGAGGGGAGGAAGACGGGAGCGTGGAGGTAGGGACAAAGCGGTCGCGGGAGGAGGGGCGAGGAGTCCTCGGATCGGAGGCGCCGGAGGACGGGTGGGTGGGGTGGAGGAGGAACGTATCGAGTGTTCAGAGAGGCACTTCCTCACGACTGCTCACGACGTCTGGGCACTAGCAACGTCGCGTCGCAAATCGTAATCGTCGACGAGACACACCGCGAGGCGGCCGCCGCCGCCGCCGTCGCCGTCAAGCACTCGGCAGCGGCAGTGACTAGTTAAACTGGAGAGGCGCCAGTTCACGTAGTCCCTCCTACGTAAAACTACGGCGGACACGTCGTCGGGTTTACCTATACCAGCCGCCGGATAATCAACCCTCTACCGATCGTGACTCGCGGCGAGCCACGAACACGCGGATCGAAAACCGCTCTCAGACTACTACTGCGTGTCAGACGGATTCCGCGCGCGGGAATGTTATGCGCGCGCTCCGTCTGTCTCGCTTTTCCCCCTATCTCCGGGTGTGCGCGCGCGCATGCTACGATATATATATGTACACACACACATATACTTTCTCTCTCTTTCGGCTCGCGCGTCCATCACCGTCTCCTCTTCGCATACGCATACGTACAGCCGCTCGACACACTTACACACATGTTCAGACGCTCCGATTTTCTCTCTCTCTCTCTCTCCCTCTCGTTCT